TTATTTGTTTTGAAAATCTCATGTTAAATTTTTATTCCTAGAAAATGCTCTCTTCTATAACTCAATCCTTACTATGGTACCTTAGCTATCGGTTTTGTTTTTTTGATTCCCAGAAAATTGTTAACTCGAAATCAAATATTTCAATTCAGATCCGAAATTTTTTTATTTCGCTTAAAGCAGATTTGGTTTTACCGGCTTATTTTTCGAGTCTATTTTGATTAAAGTTTAAACCGAATTATTTTATGTGGTTCATTTGCTTTTTTATCAACAAACTTGTTTTAAATTATTTCTGTTTATATAAAACTCATTAATTCTTTCTACGTCTAGGAAATTATTATGTAACAGTGAATAATGGTATATAGTAGATATAGTAGAGTTTTTAATTGTAATCTGTGCTTGAAAATTTCTTATCATAATTTTTATGAAGTATAATTTTAATTACAATTTCACAATAAAGAAATATCTTTAATAAAATGTTGTAAAAAAAGGAATAAATGCAAATCTTTTTTAATATAAGGGAACAAAACTTTTTGTTCAAAAAGATTAAGAGGGAATTAATTAGTAGTTTCATACTTTCATTTTATAAACGAGAAAAGCTATTTTTGTTAATTAGTGATCAATCCTAAGGTTTTTTCAATAAAACTGTAAAATTGCTGAAATCAGAAATTTTTGAATTTGAGGAAAACGTGCTAGTAATGTTAAAAAAACATTTTTTAAGTTTTTTTTTAATATTCCAATGTTTCGTAAATATTCTAATTATTTGCTTGGAAATCTGAATTTTATGACAAGAGCTGGATTTGTATTTTAAATTAACATTTTTGCGATTCGTAAGATTTTTAAAACTGAATTTTTCAGTGAAGATCAATTTCTATTGTAAATTCTTGCAATTACTTAGAGGAACTTTATTTTCAGCTTAAGTTATGCTAAGTTCATTTGTTTATAATCTTAAATTTATTTGCAAATCAAAGTATCGACTCAGGGGTAGATGCTTTAAATTTTTACCAAATTAGATTTGTTTTGAAATTTATAAGCAAAATATATTTTGAAATATCTATAATTAACTTTTAGTTAAGTGCTTTTTTTTTCTTTTAAATTCCGTTATTTAAGATTTTTCAATCACATTCATGTTCAATTTTTATTCCTAAAATTTATATCCTATAAGCAAATTAAAATCAAAAGGAAAACATAAATTATAAACTATTAAATTTTAAAAACACTGCTTTAGTAGTGATAAGTTTTATGCTAGGCTAATGTTTCGTAAACATGAGATCTCATCTATTACTAAAGGATTTGAATTTGTTAGAAATTTTTAGCTCGCTCGCTAAACTGAAATGTTTGCAATAAATGATTTTTAAAACTGATGTTAAGTTTAATTCGTGTAGCATATTTTAGCACAATGTTATTGTTGATAATAAGAAATTATTATTTAATTTTTAGCGGAAGTTTAGTTGATAATTTTTTCAAGATATAAATTTGTTTACTATCAGAGTTTAAGCTTTAAGTTTTCTTAAACTTTAAAATTCAGTCAAACTTTAAAACATTATATACGTATATATATATAAAAAAAAAGTTCAAATGTTTAACATATTGCATTACATAGATATCCTAACTAAACATTGTTTTAGTATTGAACTTAAAGTTAAATTTGGATTTTTTTTTTCTTTCTAAATTTAATATTTTGTGATATAACATTCAATTGTCCTATTTTTTTATGTTTTTATGGAAGATGTGAATAACTATGAAATTTTCAGTAACAGAATAGGGATAGAAATAAGTTTCATTTCTGGAGGAGTTTAAGGTAACATAAGGTATGGATAGAGGTCCTCATCCCTTAAAATTCTACCGTTCAAAAAAGAAAAGAAAAAATTAAATCAGTATTTATGTTGTTGTTTTTTTCTAATCCTTAAAAGTAGTTTATTTTCAATGAAGCTTTTGCATTGTTTTAAACATAAAAGTATTTAAATTTAATTTTTTGAAAAAATTTTATTTACAAAATACTTTTACTCAATTTTCAAATCTCGATGTGGACTCATCCTAAAGACACGATTCCCAGTAGAACACCGAAGTCAAGCAGCACTGGCCTGGGTTATTAAGCGGGGGGATGACCACTTTGATCAGCTTGCGTATGGATCGAGGGTGCACTGTATCGGTCCTCGCTAAACTGTTCTACCGTAAGATGCTCTACTTCGCGACCAGGTCGTTCGGCTACCAAAGCAGGTGAGTCATCCTCTCTGCAGAGGATCAAAATTGCGATGGCATGTCTTCAGATCAACCTCGGGTATGTTTCCCTGACCGTCGCCAATAGCCCATTATGCTACTCTAGTCCAACGTAAACAAAATACCTACCTAAATTTAATATTTTGTAATATAACATTTAATTGTTCTAATTTTTGATATCTTTATGGAAGATGTGAATAACTATAAAATTTTCGGTAACACTAGTGTTCTAAAAAGGTTTTATTTCTGGAGCAGTAGTGTTCTCACCCCTTAAAATTCAAAGATTACAAAAAGAAAAAAAAATTAAAATAGCGTTTTCTTTTTTCAAATTTTTAAAAAGTAGTTTATTTCCTATGAAGCTTTTGCATCCTTTCAACATAAAAGTATTAAATTTAATGTTGCAAAAAAAAAAATTTTACAAAATACTCTTACTCAACTTTTTAATTACACATTTTGTTTATTTTTAAAGTGTTGAACTGCTGTAAAATAACAAAAGCTGCAATTCAGGTAGCTTAATGAAATTTCTGTTTAAACTTTCAATTACTAAATATTAGATTTCATAATTAACTATACATAATTTTATAAATCTTTTTTCTAAGACCAGAAATAAGTTTCACGGGCCCTCTCACACAATTTATTATGTGTTCTTTCTAAAATCTTATTTTCATATTTTGTAAGCTTTTTGAAAAGCTTTTTAGTTCATATCTTTAATTCTTGCAAGATCTATTATCATTTATGTGCATTCGAAAAAAGTTTAATTAAACCCGTACTCTTTCTAGTAAGAGGTTACAAACTGGCCCTATCCCATTTCTTACCGCAATACAATCTTTTGAATTTTCTTTAACGCTGTTCAGTTTCGAAAGCAGAATTTAATTAAATTTTTGACATACTCGACTGAAAAATTTAAAACTTTGGTTGCTTTCAAATCGAAGAAAAGAAATCCTGAAATTTTTAATAAATCACGCAGCAAGATTTGAAATGTAAATGAATATACAGGGTGTCCCGTAAATGCTGTGACAAATTTCTGGGGGAAGTAAGAATTTCATAGCAATCCATGACCAGAAATGCCATCTTACGCTGCTAGGGGCGCTTTCCTATTATGGACATGTTGTTCGTGAGCCTTTGAACTTTTATTCACCTAGAATATTTTAATTTCATGTCAATCTTATGTTCACTTTCTTTAAATAACCGTTAATAAACAGCCCATCCAATTTTGAGTTTACGACTACCAATGTTCATCTTCGCAGCCTTGCTATTTTAAACTCAATCCAGAAGACAAAGGAGTCCCTGTATCAAGAATTAGCCGCAATTTGCTCGTGTGGAGGACTTTTTGATGGAACTAACCCACATTTGCGTTACATGGTGAAGAAAACCACGAAAACCTAGCGCGGTTGGCCTGACAAGGGGACTCTAACCCACGATCCTTCTACCACTGAGCATATTTTAGTTCAGCACTGTAGTAGGTGCGAGCCGGATGCGGAATTCGAATCGCAGCCATTGCTGGGGTCGAACCCGGGTCACCTCGTCGAAAAGAGAGCGCTCTATCCCTGGGGGCACCACGGCTCTTGTGTTTACAATTAATTATTGTCGAGAGTTCCATTAAAATAGGCTCGGAAATGGTGTTTTGTCCTAATTTAATAATTACACAAGTTTGACCAGTTAGTCGCCAAATCATTAAGTTACAATAAAACAGCATTATTTTCATGGAACTCTCCACAATAATTAATTGTAAACATAAAATTAACATGAAATTTAAATATTTTAGATGAATAAAAGTTCAAAGGCACATGAACAACATGTCCATAATAGAAAAGCGCCCCTAGAAGCGTAAGATGACATTTCCGGTCATGGGTTCTTATGCATTTCTTAATCCTTGTGTGTTCCCCAAAAGTTTCTCAGCATTTACAGGACACCCTGCATACTTTCCAAGCACGTAAAATACTTAAAAAGTAAAATTAAGGACTTTGGACCGCTCTTCTTACCAAACTATTGGGATAATATTTCCCAGATTGGGACTACCCCCTATATTTGAGCAGTCCGAATTCCGTGAAAAAAAGGTATGTTTAATCAGACGAAATGCGTTTTTATGTCTGATTTCGCAACTTAAAACATCGTCTGCACAAATTAATTAGCATAATTGAAATCAACCCCTCATATCTTTTAAGATTGAGTCCTAGAATTGTGAACATCCGATCATTAAATGAAAAGTCCTTTAAAGCTTTCGGCATTGTACAATAAGAGGATGACATCAGCAAGTCAAATTCAATGCTTAGTCAAATTATCCTAATACAAAAAGTCTGATCATTCTATCAGGTGTTATATTAAGGTGATCCGTGTTTTATTTTTGGACACTATACATTAAATTCTTCATGATAAAAACTAAACGATGCTTTAAAGAAACTGTTGTCGCTATTGCTTTACGTCGCACTCGAGCTGCACAATTTGCTATTGGCAACGGTTTTGGAAACATGCCTGAGGATGATCCGAAGACACTCCATCACAATTTTGATCCTCTGCGAAGATGGGAGGCGACCCTGCTTCGGTTTCCCGAATATCTGCGCACGAAGTCGAGCACTTCTCGGTAGAATAGTTCCACGAGAACAAAGTGGTCACCCACCTGCGCACTGACAGCAGCCAGTGATGCTTGACTGAAGTGCTCTATAGGGAACCGTGTTTTAATGATCAGTTCACTGAGGGACGTTATAAACAGACAAAATTTTATTCTAGAACTTCCAAAAAATAAACATACCTATACAATTTGGTTGCTGGTAAAAGAACAGACATAGTTTATTTATAGTGTTTATTTTTTTTAAACAATATATTTTAAAGTAAAGCATACAACAACAGCCCGTTGTGAGCCAGCGGGATCATGGAGCTATAAAGTTCCACATTTCATAACTACACAGCAGGGTGGTGGCAAGGCAAAATTGTCAACATAGCGCACAGTGCCGCCTTCATTTTCCAGACAAACTGGTGCCCATTGAATGGAAGCTGGGTGGTTTTCAAGCCGCCATTGTGGATCGAACCCAAGTTCATTACAATGACGGCTCAGCGTCTTCAACCACCAACCTCGAACAATATAATTATTGATAAGAATACTGTCCAGTTGCATGAATGAAGTATTGCAAGATACGGGAATGTGTGAGTTTTGGTAGAGTTGAGATGAATTATTGCTGTTTTTTATCAAGAGAATTCGACTTTGTAGACTCTGCTTCGTGCTTGTGCATAATGACAAGTCCAAGAATTATCAACATGGTTCCCATCCACCAAAGAAAAGATAAAGATTCTCGGAAAAAAACTTGACCAAATACAGCCTGAAATGTAACATCAAAAACACTTAGCGAGCTCTTTATAAATTCAAAATAGGTAATAAAACAGACTAAAGCAAAAATATAAAAAAGTGAATAAGGCAGACATGCAGGAACAGATGTGCTTTCATTTGTACTTTATTCACGTGTTAATTAAATAGACATTTAAAGTAAAGCGTGTTTTTATGGAACGCATATTAAAATGCATATGTTACCGTGTATGTCCGATATCAAGAGAATGTCGACTTTCACCTGTAAATGTCAACAATCTCATAGTCGCTTTGGTGAATGTTCGAAATATTTTTTTTTTATATCCAATTTCATATTTATTCGTTGATATTATTATATTTATTTAAAATTTTAATATCTGCTGAGGATTGATAAGGAGAAACATCAGTGTTCGGAGTACCGGTTAAATGCATACCGAGCAGTGGCACTTAAGACTTAAAAAACATGGATGTAGGGCATACCGGGCAAATGCATACCGGGCAGTGGCACTTAATAGACCTCGTATATATTTCGGACATTTACAGGGGTCTGTCCTGGCCGAATTTACTACCGTTTAGCGGTACCTTCACAAATTCAACTTTAGGAAAAACGGTAGTTTCACAAATTTAACTTTAGGGAAAACGGTAGTTTCACAAAATACTTTTTCTTAAAATTTTATNGAAAAAAAAGAGATCACAATTTTAAATTAAAATTATGCTGTGCTAATTGAAACTTTGTGTTATTAGTTAAAGTAGTATTCTTTAAATTATCTATTTTATCTTGTCTTTTAATTTCAATCATGCCTTTGTATCAAAATGGTCGCTATGCATTATAATGAAAAATTATTTTAGTAAGTTAGAGCTTCTAAAATATTGTTATAATATAGTTTTAATATTAATTTAATTTTGATTAAACATTTATAAAGTTTTTTTGATCATAAATTAAAGCTCTTATAGTGTATTTAAATAAAAATCAAAAAAATCTGATTTAAATCAAAAAAATCCGATTTAAATCAAAATAATCCGATTTTTTCGATTTTTTTAAAAAAAATCAAAAAAATCACGAACCCTGATTCACAGTAACACTTATATTTATACTATACACATTTTCATTTATTATAAAAAAATTACAAAAATTTTAAATCTGAACCTCCCAGAATATAGCTTTTATCAGTTGTTATTTTTTAGACCAATTTACTTTTTTTTACAAAATTGAAGAGACCAACAATCTTACTAATTAAAAATGGAAGTTTAGGCACTAATTAAAAAAGGAAATAACAAAACACAAGAGATTAGATTTTCTACTACTACAGTACAGAACCCGTTATCCGGAAAACCAAAAAACCGGAACGAAATTCGATACATTTTCCCGCCATTTAAAAAAAAAATTTTTTTCCTCATAGGATTTTAGGATTTTTCTTTCGATTTTGAAAGACGTTTACCTTACCATCATTTTGGAAATAATCATTTGTGTATTACTTCATAGTTTTTTCTTCTTTTTAAGATTATTTTCAATTTTTTTTTTTTTCAGTTGGGTTTAACAGTAAAAAAAAAAACGGCTTTTTGCAGCGATTCAGAAAACCGGAAAAATCAGTTATCCGGAATAGCGATGGTCCCGATCGTTAAGGATATTCGGTTCCTTACTGTATTTTAAACATTTATCTGCTTATAACAACACGACAAATCATAAAAATAGAATTTAGTATCGTTGTCCTGTGCATTAACATTTTCCCAGCCATCAAAAATTACATTTTTTGCTTAATAGTGTTTCATATTAACGATTTCTTTTTCCCAATGCGTAAAACTAAGAACAACAGGGAGCGAAATGTCACGACGTTTATCTAAACGTTACGTTAAACGTCTTTTCTCTGCATACAACTTAAAATGCGCGACATGGACACCACTCAAAATGCCTGTTTAACATTGGAAAGACGGAAAATAAGTATATTGTCCAAAAGCAATCAAAATGACTGGATTGTGATTACGTAAATAAATTTGTTTAAAATTAATTTTTAACATTTTTTATATTATTTACAGTTATATGTAATATACAAACAAATATCATAACATTATAAAACAAATGCGAGCAATGTCTACAGCCGAAATAGACAATAGTAGACATTAAATGCATACTACACAAATTTTTTAAACCGCCTCATATCATATTTGCATCATCCTTGATTTTAGCGACACCCGTGTTAACTATATGGAATAAAAAATGCTCTATATTAAAATATTAAAAAAACTTAAAAATGTTTTATAAATATTTCTCAGCATATATATATGTTCTTAGAAATTTTGACATCTATCCTTTTGATTGATATTAGTATGAAAATTTTTTTTTAATGTTCCTATAAATATTTCCGTCTTTTAAATATTCCTATAATTGCTACCATTATAATTGTTACCATTTCATACAAAATATCATTTTTTTTTACTACTTAATTTAAAGGTAGCGTGTTTCTGGCATGTTTCATTAGAATATGCTCTGAATGTGTACTGAATACAAAGATATGCCTGTAAAGTTACATCTGTAATATACCCGACCCTAAAGTCTGAGACTTTTCCCCGTAACGATAACGCTTAGTGTTTTAAAAAAGTGAGAATGGAATTCCTTGTTTAATTGTTAAGGGTTGAACATTGAATTTGAGCTGTTAGCTTGAGAACATTTTAAGCTGTGTCTGTTATCTTAAACACGCATTTCAACCTATGTCCAGAATAAAAATATCACTGACAAAAATGTAACTTTGATACAGGAGATCCAGGACAAAAGTTATACCATAAAAATTGGAAAATATATACAATAGAACCATCTTCAACGTAAATTTCTTTTAACGTGAACTAATTTTCAATTCCCTGTCAAATTGTATACGGATATAATACTTTTAACGTTAGATATCTTTTAAGATGCACTCGAATTTCGTTATTCTTGAAAAAAAATTACTTTTAATGTGAACAGGAAATTTATTTCCCTTCCGACAGGTTGTTGTTGTTTCTATTGCTACTTACCAATACCATTAAGCCTACTTGGTGGAACCAAGCAAACTTAAGGCAGAAGGTGCGTTTCCTGCTCTTCAGTGGCGCCATCTATTACCAAGAATATGACTTCAGCCGCATGCATCACTGCCCGTTTATAAGGCGGACCCATTCATACATCCATTCATTCATTCTCAGAACTTAATTTAATCGTTTTAATTTGATCGTAATTTAAAATTACAAATAATACTAAATATTTAATAATAATAATTAAATTTTGGTGGCGAATACTTAGGTTTACTTTCCGCTGATGGATACTTACGAAGCGATTATAACTGTTCGTTCCGTTGTAATGAAAAATGAAAATTCAAATCATATTTTGTATGCAATTGATAAGTTAAAAAACTTTGGAAAACATGCGCAAATAAGAAACTAAACCCGCGAGTTAGCACCGATTATTTGGTGTTAATCCTCTCTAATTTGTGCAAAGAAAATCAATTTATTCCTTTTGGTTAGTTATTTTTCAGTAATTTTTAATTTGCATCTTTAAAACTAAGAAAAAGATAAAATAGAGCACCGAAAGTAAGTACACTTTTTTAATTCCTTCTACACTATAATATTTTTTCTTCCTTTATAATTTTATTTTAATTTAAGAACTTAGGTGTACTTATTATGAGTTGCATAGAAGTATTAATTTAATATAACACACATAATAAAGAAATATATTAAAATGAAATACATATTCATTATAGAGATTTAAGATTAAAATGCAAATAGATAACAGATACAGTTAATAGAAAATATCTGTGTATCAAAAAAAAAATTGCAGAATTGGTAATGTGGGCAAATTTTTTGTCCCTCTTCGAGTTGAATGTCAACGAGGTTGGACTGTAGTTGAAGCTGAAACTATGAATCATTCAATCTATGATTTTTTTTAATACAAAAAAAAGCAGTAGCCACTGAAAGAAAGTATCTACGAACAGAAAAAGTTCCTCTTTCTTGAAGTGGATACTTAATAGTATCGATTGCTAATGACGATAGATTATATTATTAAGCCGTGGTGGCTCAGGACATAGAGCATTTGCCTCCCAAAGAAGAGTACCGGGTTCGAATCCCAGCAATGGCAGGTCGATACGAAATCCGCTCCCGGCTTGTGCTGACGTAAAATATCCTCTGTGGTAAACGGATCATATGTTTGAGTCCCCTAGCAGTCAAGCTAACTAAAGGAGATTTTCGTGGTTTTCCTCTCCATGTAATGCAAATGAGGGTTAGTTCCATCAAAAATGGTCCTTCACAAAGGCAAATTTCGACCATACTTGATCCAGGAGTTCCCTTGTCTTCTGGATTAGCTTCAAAATGACAAGGCTACGAAGTTGAAATTAGTAGTCGTAAACTCAATAATTGTGTTCACTGTTCAAGAACAATTATTAAATAAAATAAAATATAAAATAAAATTAAATAAAATAAATAAATCATATTTTTAAAAAATCAGTTTTGTATGAATGTTTTCTTTAATTTTTCTTTCATATGAATGTTAATAGAAACCAAACGTGGTGTCGGACCTGAATAATATAAACTTTACGCTATTTTTGAAGATGGTAACCGATAGTCACAAATAATCATGAAATAAACAGAAAACTAAACAATTTTAGTATCAATATACTCAGTAGCCACTGTAATCATTCACTGAATTCAATATACTCAACTGTAAAGAAAAAATTGGCCGCAGTATTGGTGACGGTAGCTTCCAATGTTGTGGAACACACAACTAATGCTTTTGAGAAGAGAGTCCACATGAGAAGATTTGACAGCATCATTGCAATGAAAAATCCCACTCTTGTCCAAAACAGAGTCTGTAATACAGATAAGTTCAAGAGGTAAAACAAAAATACTTTAAAGAATATAAAAATCAGAATATTTTTTTAAAAAAATTGACTAAATATCACCTTTAACACAAAAATGTTTTACGCAATTATTTTTTGAAAGCATGGAAGATCTTTCTGCCTCCCACTAAAGCAAGGCACTTAAGATGGCCACTAACAAATCTGGCCAAAGCAGGTCTGGGTTTTTCAGTGGCATTTCATGTCCAGCAAGGGATGTCCCATGATAGCAGTGGTATGTAGGTGGTAAACGCCACAAAATCTTTTAGCTTAGATCTTCCAATTGAATGGAGTTCATTATAAGTAACTGAGGAGCCAGTGGCTTCTTCACTTCCCTATTTTTCCAATCTGTTCTCTACTTCATCACCGCGAATATCCTCGCATAATAGAATCCATCAAAGGTGAACATTGTGATTCTCAGAGATTGTCCTTACTCTGTGCAAAATGGAAACGCTGGTTTTGTCTCTTGCAGAGGACCAGCCATTTAGATGCTGCAGTGAGCTGCGGCTATCCGGTAAAGTCCATAATTCACTGAAATCACTTTCGTACGGACAAGATAGCATCAAGCCCAACACTGATCGGAATTAGCTCACTGCTAACGACAGAACGGTAAACCAGGGTTGCGTTGCATAAGTGCTCTAGGAGAGGGGTTCTAATGTAAATGCCACTACCAGTACGATCTTTTACTACCATTAGTATCTTTTACTACCATTAGTATAGACCTGCACAGCTCCTTTATTGTTATCCCTAATTCTAATTAATACTTACATTTTGACAAAGAGAGAGTATTAAAACGTAAGCTTACATTTTGAGAGAGGATTAATCGTAAGCTTACATTTTGAGAGAGGATTAATTCTATTTAAAACTTACAATTCAACAAAAAAAGAGAATATATTCTATTTAATACTTACATTTTGACAAAAAGAGAGTATTAAAACGTAAGCTTACATTTTTTGAGAGGATTAATCTTAAGCTTACATTTTGAGAGAGGATTAATTCTATTTAAAACTTACAATTCAAAAAAAAAGAGAATATATTCTATTTAATACTTACATTTTGACAAAAAGGAGAATATGTGTAGTCTAATTCTTTGTGGGATGAAATAGGATAAAAGTGCTGCATGAACTGTTCACACAAAGACAACGTTTGTTCAGCAGCCATAGAAAGTTTTCCACACAGAGACGCTGTAGCAGCCAATAAACCGGATAGCAATGAAAATGTTATACCTTTCATTTTAAACTAATAAGTTTATTAATACGATTACATATCAATCAAAGTTAGATACGATGAAAAGCAAATTTAAAACTAATTAAACTACAATTACAGTCATATAGTTTTAAGTTAGACAGCTGCACGTTGGGGGTGACATTGTAAAGTTCTAAAAAATAACAAATCTCATTTAATGTTACAATTAATTATCTGAAAAAGTAACGGGACGGTTAATCATAAATTCAAAACAATAACAATCGAGTGAAGCAGACAACATTAGATGAGTTGAGTAAAAAGAAAGATTATTTTTTAATTTTGAAAAATATTTCACTCCTCTTTTTAGAGCCGAATTAACTGTACCTAATATAGTATTTTATTCTTTGGATATTTTCCAACAAACTATATCTAAAACTTGTCAAAAATTACATTTGCAGCAGATCTTTTTTAAGATTTAAAAACTGTAGTTTTATATATGGCAACGCAAAAATGAAAACATAACTAAAAAGATGGCTGACATCGTAATTGGTGTTCGAGCGTACAGTAAAATGCTTTTACATGCTATGAAATACCCTCATCAAGCTGTTAATGGGGTATTTTTAGCTGAAAAAAGAAAAAGCAAAGAACATGGATCTGGTTCTGTTAATATTATCGACGGCATTCCACTATTTCACCTAAATTTAAATTTAACACCAATGCTTGAAGTTGCAATGGTTCAAGTAAATGATTAAATTATATCTTTTTCCTTTTTAAATGCATTATTTTCTTCTTTTTTTATATTTTATTGTAGCATATGTAGCTGTTTCTAATTGAGATCCATTCTTCGTTTATGCAGTTTAATGAACGTACTTCTAAATTTATGAACTTCGTAATCCTATTGACTCCACATCCGACTCATCAATGCCTGCCTTTTATGTATGTTAAATTGGACTGTAGTCAGAGTCGTGGAAAAGTTTTTCAGAAGTGCGATTCCTAAACATATGCTTGACACCGGTTTGTTAAACGTTTGCTCTTATTAGTTTAAAGAAGAAAGAAACCAAGATTTTAATCTTATGTAACTTACTTAGTCTAATATATTGCACAAAAAATATTTCTCAAATGAATATTGTGACAATTAAGTAAATTTTAACAGTTTCGAGCCTATGTTTAATATTTGAACTACTTAAAATTACATATATATATTTATTCTGAAACAAATTTATTAAGTTCATTTGAAAATTAAGAAGAATTTTATGCATTATTTCTAATAGTTTTTTTTTTTAAATCTAGAATGTTTTCCAAGCACTCTTATTGCAATAAGATGCTTATTAATTTGAGACTATGTAAGGCATTGCTATCTTGCTCTTCTTATACTGGTTACAAATACCTACATTTTGTAAGATTCATTTCTTTATGGTATATGAGATATAAGTTTAAATAAAATTCCTTTTGCTTTAACTGTGACTTCTGTATGAATTGACTTATATTAATATTAATATAAATATTTTCAAAGGATTTAGTGAACATTTTAATTTTACTATTTGGAGTTTTACTGAAGTTCAAACAATTGAACTACTGATTCCACAGTTTTGGTCTAAAATAAATCTTTTACTTTATATTGGTAAAAAATACATAAATTATAGAAATATAATTTTGCAGGTTAAATTTTGTTAATATTACAGATAATATTGGAATGATAGTATTAAAAGTGTCATTTTTAAATCAACTTAAGAAAATGAAATGTATAAATAAAGTTATTTGTACTATTAATAAAATAGTTAATATCTGGGTGTATCAAGGTTGACACAGTCACAAAAAAAACCCAGTAGGTTTTTTTCAAATTTGGCCCACTTATCACATTTTGTCTTTGCAAATAAATTTTCTTTGCATTATCAAACCAAATTGTTTTTTCAAATTATACCAACCTATAGTCTTATAAACTTATTTTTGTAACTTTTAATTAAAAATTACATGAAATAAAACATACTTCAGTTATCTGATTTTTGCAAACAAAATTTAAATGAACTAAATACATAAAAAATAATGTTCATGATTAAAAGAAAACATTGCTAAATTATAATACATCATTTATCCATAAAACAAATTCTGTGCAATATGCATACACTAATTGTGCATATGCATTGCCAAATTAAATTATAGTAAACAATATGATTTGGAAATATTGAACTAAATACATTACTTGTACTCATTAAAATATATTAACTTAAAATCTAAAGTGTCATCATGACAATTTTATTAAGCAAAAAACTTTTTAAGTGAGAAAGCTACTGTTAAATAATACCTAATGATTATTTGGATAAATAATTTGTTCAATTTTTGTAATGTCCTATATTTTTTATATTTTTCTTACATGTTAACTGTTTTATTATATTTTTTATTTATAGATTGAGCAATACTGTAAAGAACAAGGTCTTGTAATCGCAGGTTACTATCAAGCTAATGAACATATAAAAGACTGCAGGTTGGATATTTAACTTTTTACTTTTATTGTGTTTTCTGTTATTTCATATATTTTGTTTAACACTATTTTAATTTGTTTTTTCTTTAATTAATCTATGTATTATTGTATTTTTCTTAAAGCTTCTCAATGATTAAAATCTGCAATATTAATCACATGATATTAAGTTAAATTATATTTATTTTTTGCATTTTTGTATTAATATCAGAAATAAAAAAATATTAGTGTTCATTCTAGACCTTAAATAGGGCAAGGCACTAGAAACAAAAAAAGCACTATTCTTCCTTAAAAAAGGGCACCTATTGCAGAAAAAGATAAAATTTAAATTAAAAATATTTCCTCAGTAAAATTCACACATTCTATAAATTGGTTTTAACATGAGCTTAATTCTCGAATTTTGAAAATGTTGCCTGTGATTATAATAGCTTATTAAACAGGTCTTTAAAACAATGTGTTTAAGATATAGTATTTTAAAAACAAACTAAATTGAATGAAAATTAACTGTAATAACCGACAAAATAGCTATCAAAAATTATGGTGGACTTACGCTGAAAATTTTGTGAATCAAGCTCATGAAATAGTTATTCCTAAAATATTAAATTTGTTATCCATGACATTGTACTAATTACATCGAAATTGAAAAATCACATAGAAATATTCAAAAAACGACAAGCAGCTGTTGAAAAAACCATCCATAAACGGATTTGCAGTAGAATCGATCTAAATTGAGCATGTCAAAAAGCTACTCCTTAAATTGAAAAGCTTGGTTGTCATAATAACATCGTATTAAAATTATCAAAATAAGAAAAAACAAGTGGAAATTGCCGTAAATAATGTCAATTATGATGGAAGCGTCACGAATCAAGCGCCCTAAATAGTGATAACTCTAATTTGAACATCTATTAAAACTTATAAAAATATCAGGGAAAGTATAAAAGTCATATGCAAAAGGCTGATGAAATTATAAATAACTGCCCACACAACTATTAGGTTTTCCGAAAAGTTCGTGCAGATTCATTATTTTTTATTATAGAATTGACAAGAACTTTCCGAAAGACCAAATATCATCCGACAATAAGAAATTTTAATGGAGTTGTCGTGAATTGCACAACGTAATATCAGCATATTAAAAATATTAGGATTTGAACAAACTTGTGAAAAGGGCAGATGAAATGATAAATAACTACCAAAAAACCCATCAAAAATGACGAGGAATTGTGATAGAATCATCACAAATCAAGCTCCTCAAATAATGATAGCTCATTCAAATTTTAAACGTATCAGTATTTGAAGAACCATATTAAAGGGACCGAAAAAAATTATTAATAACTTCTGTAAAAGCCGTCACCAATTAGAATCTTCATGAATTAAATAATGATAAGGCGATCCATGTTAAAAAAGCTGGAAAATGACAGCTTTCAAAATAATTATAATCAACCAGCAATGTGAAATAACGATGGAATCATCACAAATCGAGCATATTTAATAGTGATTAATCCGAACAAATATCTTAATCATTGATTTTTACATCAATGTTTTAAATTTATTGTTTGTTTTATTTATTTTAAATTGAAAACTTATGATTTTTTTAATCAAATGTCTATAATCTTTGAAAGTAATCCAATTTATGTAACGTTATGATAATGTTTAATACTTTTTTTTAATGTTAAGCACAATTTGCATTTTTATTAATTATATATTTTTTAAAATTTTGCTTCTTTTTTCAAGTTGGAATTTTATGTAAACTGAACTTCAAGGGAAAAAAATAAATTTTTTTTTTTTTTTTTTTTTAAACCCNTTTTTTTTAGTGTAAACCCTAAATTATGAGTTTTATTTTAAAAAACGGTTTTTAACTTTGTTTTGCTTTTTTATTTCTAATTTTATAAACTTTTGTTCCAATTCATTTTTCAGCCCCAACTTTATTGCAAATCGAATAGCTGATAAAATCTATGAAAATTTCCCTGATGCTTGTTTGATTATGGTACGTACATAATTTATTTTTCTACAGAAAGGAATTGATGAAGTGTTCTTGTTGTTTGCTTTAAAATGTACAGGGCTCTCATGGGTCAGGGAGAACACAGAAAACCTTGAATTGTTAGATAATTTTATTTTAACTCTAAAGAGCAGGGAATAGTAAGGGAAAATAAGTTTTTTGCGAGAAAAAAAACCCCAGAAAATTCCTATATCATACCGGAAAAATAACCTGTCTTAAAATTTTCTGTTACAGTATATCAGATATTGAGATTAGAGTTAAATAATTCTTAATATCTATAACAATATTTAATAAAATTTCACTTTTTAGTTGAACTTTTCCATTCTCATTCTATTTTATGTTTGTGCTCACAAAATCTAATATTTGACATTATAAATAAAATAAAAAATCAAAGTTTTCTGATATAAAATTGCTAGTATAGATAAAATATGGTATGGATTTCCTTTGAAATTTACCTGAGAAAAAAAATTCCCTGGGAATTCTTTCTGAAATTGGGTTGGAACCCTAAATAAATCGATATTTTTAATAATATTGAATGTACTTACTATTACTGTATGAGTTGCATGAAAAAATTTATTGTCAGTGTAAAAGTTATGAAAAATTTAGTTGAAGATAAAGAAATATTTTGTAACAGAATTGACATTAGAGTTGTAAATTGAAGGATAAAACAAATAAGAAAGACTTTTTTTGAAAGGAGAATTATAACAAAAAAAAAATTATATTATAAAAGTGTTTTTCATTATTTTCTGAGAAAAAGTGTATCAATAAAGTATTTAACATAAGTTTCCATAGACCATCCAACTTTTCCCTTTAAGTTTAATAAAAATAATACATTCCTGCATAATTTTTACTTGATGTCTGAATTTTCTCGGCAGAAAAAAAAATTTAAATATTAAAACAAAAGGCTGCCTTTTATATTATTATTACTTTAACTACAGATGGATTTTTCTATTTAAAAAACTTTTTACGTTTTATTTTCTTATAGTCATGGATGCAAAACTATTACTATGTTTTATCTGTAACTATTACGATTTCATAGTTAAGATTACAGTTGTACAGCTTTTGAGAATTTCCCTAATAAACTGTGTAAAGTAAGTTTATTCTCTTTTAACTACCAAGAGTCATGAAATTTGAAAGCGTCAGTGTTAAAGCAAGAAGAGCAAATGGAGAATGTCAAACAAAACAAAAGATATTGTGTATCTTTACACCCCTATTTTCTTACCAGGCTTAGCATGAAAATTCGCGAAACTAAATAAATCCTTTTGTGGTTAAATCGAAGACATCAGGGATGTCAGTAAGACGCATTTCAGGGATCTGCTTAGAAAAAATTTGGGTCCGTTAACGGACCCTTCACAAAATGTTTCATAAAAACGGACCTTCCACCAAATATCTTTTCATAAAAATGGACCCTTCTCAAAATATCTTTTCATAAAAACGGACCCTTCACAAATTTGTTTATCTTCATTATTGTTTTGTTAATTGAATAAACCCTTCCAAGTGGGGGGGGGAGAGAGAGAGAAAGACAGATGTAAACGAATAAAGTTTTGTCTTCGGCAGACGCTTCTTCCTTTATTTGTCCGAAATTAATATTCTACTTTCAGCAGTATAGGCTAAATTCCAGATCTTTGCATGTTGCATCTCTAATTTAGTAGCAGCAATTGCTGTTTGTTTTTGAAAATGTAATTTTTTTTACTATACTTTTACAGTGTTGAACATGAAAAAGTTTTTTGCTATAACAGGACCCTATTTGCACAAATTCAAAAAAGCAGGACCCTGGTTAAAAGAATTTGACTTAACGTTTATTTTATATTCACAAGTTACGAGTCATTTTTTCACAATTTTACAAAAAACTGGACCTTTCACAAAATGTCTGGACTGACCCCTGCCAACTCTATGTCATTACTATGTTAAGCTAAATGTACTATGCTACAACTCTATATTAAAGTAACTATACTTTTCATTTTATTGTACTTTTATTAACAGCTAGTTTGGAAACTAGTGTCTCTGCATTTTTGCATGAATATTATGCATGTAATCTATTTATAATAATTATTTTTATTAAATGTTTAAATTTACAGGTTGATAACCAAAAATTATCACTTGACTGTGATGAAGTAGCTTTTCATTTGTATCAGTGCAATGATGGGAAATGGAAGTTAAAAGACAAAAACAGGTAAAACAAATTTAATTTCATTCGTAGTTTTTGAAAATGATATTTTTCTTTGCCCATTGGGGCAAATTTTTGAAGCATCAATTTACAAAGACTCCAATGAGTCTTATAATGTATTTTTAAAAATAAAAATAATTAAATTCTTATTTATAAAATCTAATTTTTTATGAGTTCTGTACACAAGATGTATCTATGCACCAATAAAGTTAATTAGTTGATAACAACCTTCATATCTTAAATTGGGTTTACACAACCTGTAGCCATAAAACGGTTCATAATCAGACTATGTTATTAAGGTCATAATTGCAACAATTATCAACATTATTATTTTCTTCATTCTTATATAAATATATTTTGATTTAAAGACTACTACACAAAGTTAAATCTCTAAATTTCCAATTTGACTAAGGAAAAAATTATTATTGCTTGGTTGCCACTCTTCTGTCCTCAGGACTGAAATCAGTCATGAAAAAAAGTTTGTGGTCTGAACTTAATCCTTCAATCAAAGTATGAAATTGATTTAAACAAATTATATGATAATTAGTTAATTATATAACCACCTATTTGAGAAAATNTGAATCGCACGGAAACCAACATAAACCATCAAAATGTTTTGATAGGATCATCAAGAACTGTTCCACTCTTCTGTCCTCAGGACTGAAATCAGTCATGAAAAAAAGTTTGTGGTCTGAACTTAATCCTTCAATCAAAGTATGAATTTGATTTAAACAAATTATATGATAATTAGTTTATTATATAACCACCTACTTGAGAAAATTGCTGTTTAGTTAAATCAGGGTGGCTACCCACCTGGAATTATCAGGGAATTTTTTTATACTGGAAAAAACCTGGAAAAGTCAGGGAAATTTGGATAAAAACCTGGAGAAATCGGGGAATTTCAAAAAGGAGCTGGAATTTTTCATAAAAAAGTTGAAATATCATCAACTTAGCAATACTTTTCTTGCATTGTTTAGTTTTAAAAAATTTATTATTCATTGCTATTTAATTTTCAATCTGAATATAGTATATTTTATTTCTTAATTGTAACTTTAAACGCTAGCAGCATCAATTCATTAAATATCATTTATTTTGTTTTATTCAAATTCAGAGATGTCAGCACAATTTTTGTTTGAGTCTGCGCAGTAGTAAGTTTCATTTTCGAACCTTTACCTTTACTTCGTTTTTTCGCCACGGAGCAAATTATTATTTTGAATTCGATGTGTTGTAGATGGTTATATTTTCTTTTCGGGACCAGCTCCCAAAGATATTACGATGATACGTTCAAAATTGTTATTTATCGATAGCTATTAGCTATATTAATTTCGAGGTGAGTCGTTTTTATGTTTTTGTTGTCATTAGTTGTGCTGAACTGTCTGAAATCGTTTTCATGTTTAATTAACTAAATAATTTGCTGCTATCTTATTTCAACTTGTTTACTGTTAAAAATTTCAATTTAAATTTATATTTTGTGAAATCAATTATTATCCAGTATTGTTAATTGTTCAATATATTATTTGCAGAATAAATGTTCTTAAGATTCTTAATTTGTCAGGGTTTAAATTTTACAATATATTTTTTTCTTTCTCCTTTCTATTTTGGGTAATTAATTTTACCTGGTCCGTCATTTTACAATTTACAACTATACATGCATTAAAATTCTCTTCAGTATTACCCTGCTTAACTAGAATGTCATTTCAAACTCTTCCACTTTGGGAAATGAATGGAGAAATCTTTGACCTCTTTGGAGATTATGCAGTTTAGAAAAGGCAAAAATGTGGAAGAAAGGATTAGGATGTTTGCGTCTGTTTATAAAGTAGAATTTTTTTAAAGAATCTTCTTTTAGTCTGTGAACTGAATTCATTAATTATTCAAGTTTGTCCCTATGCTTTAGGGATATTTTTTTCTTTTAACAAAATTATTCAAAATGTTTTAGTATTTTTAATTAAATTCTGCGAACAATTATTGATTATTATTTATGTAGAGATTTTATCTTGCGCCCTTTTTCTGAAAGCTTTTGTACTCTCATGAATTATTTTTTATCAGCAAAGCCAACCAATCGCTATTAGCAAAATTTTACAATTGCATTGATGCTGATTTTCTGGATTTCATGATAACTTTTATTTTGATATTTCCGAAACTGTTTCTCCTTTTACCCTAGAAAGCTGGCAAAAACCATGGAATGTATGGAAAACATGCTAAATGAGAAATTTTATTTGTTTATTAGAAAGAAGCAAAACAAAGCTTAGTTTTTTTTTTTGTTCTGCACTGTACAGGAACAGGTTTCAAGTTAGGCAACCAGATGGATAAACTAGGAATTCTTAATATTTTCTGGGTTTTTTTTTAAAAAGAATAAAATTTGAAGAATTTTATCTAGTTTTTTTTTTCTCTATAGAATATGCAACAAGAAATTTGACAATTTTTCCTTCACCAATACTGAATGTCTTTTAATATAATAGTGCTCATTCGAAAAAAACATTATTTAAACATTTGACTTGTGATATTGGTTCAAAGAAAATAATTTCAATGAATTTTATAAAGAGCACTGTTTGCATAAAATACAGTATAAAGTGGCTCTATATTAAAATATAATTAAATATAAAAATTTATTGGTCTCTAATCACCTGGAATTATTTTCTTTTGCTTAACAAAAATATATTAAACAGTACTTTTCCAAGGTTGTTTTAAGTCATTGTTATTTGGTACATTTTGTACAAAATCTATTAAGCACTTAAATTTTTTTTTTTATTTTTTTTATTCATTAAAAGTGTTATTTTTTGCAAGCTTAACATATAGTTTCCTCCACATCTATTCAAGGTGATATATTAAAAAAATAACATTTAAATGAAATACTACACTATTATATTGACATTTTTCTTGTATATATACTACACTTTAGCAGAGGAGGAAAAAAACACGCTGACCTGGAAATTTTAAGATTTTTACTGGAAATATCAGGGAAATTTGAAACCTGATTTGAGTGACCACCCTGTAAAATTTATCAACAAAATAAAAAACTGTGTGTAAAGTTATATTTGAACTTTTTTGCACATTTATTACTTCTGTTGTAAGATATTATTGATTCTGACATCTTGAAATCAAAATTGTTTTTCCTACTCTGTCTTTTTGAAAAAGTTTATTTGCACTCTGTTAATAACTGTTGCTATAAGTCATTGCTTTCATTACATTATTCCAAAGGGCAAATTATTTTGTTGCCTTTCTCTTTTTTTCCCCCATTTGTTTTTTCCTCAAATTGCTAAAAAGCTTAAATATGTGTAGCATTTTTCTTTTTCTCTTTCATCTTACCATTACCCAATTTCAAATTAGTTTACTTTTTTATTCAACAAAAATTTTTTTAATTTTTTCAAATATGATAGTTTGAGTGTGGTGTTGTTTAGCTGTCAAACAAAAATCAACTCATAAAATTTTTGGAATAAGAAGAGCAGTCAAAGCTTCCATTATAGCAACGAATGCACGAAGTCTTATTTGCTTGTCTACAGATTCAATGTTATTTTAATGCCCGCACTCAACTATTCTATCTAATTGAGGGATTAAAAGTTAAGTCAATTGGCTTAGAAACTATTTAAACTATTAATTCATTTGATTTTATTACACAATTTTTTATAACACCTGAAATCTCCTTTGGATGATGGACATGACCCCCTAAATTATTGTAATAAGTCCTAGGTGATTGCAAACTATGGTCCTTTATAATCTGTGTTGCTTTTTTTCAAATGATACATTAAATTTATCAATCAATCATACTTTAATGTTACCACACAATAATTTAAAACACCTTGAGGCTCTTTTCAAGGAAGGAAAAGTAACAGTATCCCCTAAATTTTTGTCCTAGTTTATAATCTGTGTATCTTTTTTTCCTTTCTGCAATAAATTTATCACTCATACTTTTCTTGTTTACAAAATTGTATTTACTTATTTCTGAAATGTCAGTCACCTACTGTGATTTATTTTGGACTTAAAAGTTGTGGTCTTTGCTGTTATGTGTTATTTATCAAAAATGACATGTAACAAATCACAGTTATCTTGTTATAGATTATTTATCAAAAATGGCATATAACATATAACAGTTATCTTGTTATGTTAATTATCTAAAATGGCATATAACATATAACAGTTATCTTACATGTTACTTATCAAAAATAGCATCCCTGAACCAGCCTATTATTTTTCACCGATTTAATATTTTTTTAAAATGTAAATTTCTGATAGTTACCAAATTATTTTTAATGTAAAGTATTGTTTTGTCAAAATTGGTCATAATTTTTTTTATGGCTATGAGTTAATATTTATAGTATTGTGTACTCACAATAAAACAACCTCACATTTTCACCCGGACCATCAAAGTCATTATTTTGAGTGTCGACTGTAGCATATGCTAGGAACTTTTTGAAATTTAGTAGTCAGAAATATGCACATTTATAAACTGTTTATTGACATTGCTTTTTTTTTTTTGCATTCATTTTGAGCAAGGTCATAAAGTGCAACTACAGTCCTTCTTCGTTCTAAAATGTGCAGAAAATTAGATAATTTAGAAAATCATTTAGACAATATAACCTTTACATATTTAAACTGTGTATTCCAAATTCTGACAATTCTTCAGAAATTCATAGATTTTTTTTTAAAGGCGCTGTCTTATTACCATTTGTATAAAAAAATGAAAAATATATCAGTAAAAATTTTTAGCTAACTAACTTTTTTTTGTTGTTTTTAGTATTCATTTTGAACAAGGTCATAAAGCCCTGAGTGCAACTGCAGCCATGCTTCATTCTAAAATGTACCGAAAACTAAATGATTTTGACAATCATTTAGACAATATAGGCTTTGACTGGACCAATCCTTTAATCAATGAGGAAATTGATCGTTGCCTATAAAAAGCTGCTATTTATTGAAAATAAATATATTGTTACAAAAATTTTATTTATATTATTTTATTTATCACATTATTATTGTTAAGTAATAAAGGGAAAAACTTCAATTATAAATATTTCATTTTGTACTTTTTTGATATGTATAAAAATGTCTATATTTATTTCCTCATATGTGGGTCCTGTATGAACAAAGGTTGTTTTAAAAAAAATGAAATGTTTGTGAATGAACTTTTTGAAATAGCACTTTTAATTTTTTAATGGTAACACACAGTCTATTATGGGCCATTCAAATATTAGGTTAGCATATTCTCTGCAATTTTGTATCTCCCACAGTTTTGTATCTTAATATTCTCTGCAATTTGTATCTTGTCAGCAAAAATAAGCAAATCAAGAACCCCTCCCTTGCTTACTTAAAATGTCACAACATTCCTTCTCTGGTTTTAATTTTGACTTTTACTATAGCACTCTATTTTTTGGATAAAATTCAAATAAAAGGTGTAACTTTGCATCAAGCAAAATTTGCTTTTTAATTAATTTATAAAATTTCGAGTAGAATATTCTTGAACTTTGGCCTCTGAAACTCTTATAAAAAAATTCCTATAATTTTTTCTTACCCTGAATTTATTTTTTGTTTCATATTTGGAATTTTTCCACAAGTAAATTTTTTCTTTGCATTTTTTATTTTGATTTTAAGAAAATTTTGAAAATAAAAGAATTTTAATGCCTTACATCAGTATTTTCTTACCCCTCCTTCTGCCTTGTCAGATAAAATAAGCAAATCGTCTACCCCCTCTTTTTTTCTTTTTTTGTAACCTGCAAATTTTTCGTAATATTTGAATGGCCCCCTTTTTATGATTTGGCTGTTACTGTTTTTGATATTCGGGTCATTTTCAAGAAATTTGAACTTTTGAATGTCCCATGATTTTAAGTAAAAACCATTCAAATAACATCTTTAATCATTCAAGTTAATTTACTATATGTTTTTGGTAAATATGGATACACAACTAACAGTGTTCTCCCTGATCATTTTTAAAAGGGTGGTGATCACAATGAGTACGTCCTCTTTGCACTTTTTGTAAATATAAACTGCCATCCCTTAACACTGCCTATTTATTCATATTCTATTTTGGAAAAAATTAATTCACTGCTTAAATAATAATTACACACTGGTAAAATTATCTGTGTTTATAAGTTTAATTCCGATTACTATGACAAATATTTACTTTGTTAGGATTTTTCTCAACTGGTTAAATTTTTATAAGTATCTCTTTTTTCGGTGGGAGATATTAATAAATTCTGTACGTGATTTTAAAATTATTTTTTAAATAAATAACTTTTTTTTTAAAAAGAAATATGCACCTTTGAATGTTCATTTTCTTATAATTCTCAGTATAAATTATAGAAAAAAAAAGTTGTTTATCAATTAATATTTTTTTTTTCTAAGTTGACTGTCTTTGAAAAAAATTTGTGCACAGTATTTGTCTTTTAGGATTTTTTTTTTGTGACCTGCAAATTTTTTTCTTATTTTGATAATGAGTGAGAACTATTTTTTGAAATGTACACATAAAATAGTATAAGAGGGTAATTTTCAGTTATTACATAATATTTCCCATTTTAATAGATTTTTACGGAGTTAAATGCCCTTTCTCAAAGAGCCCTTTTTTGAGAGTAAGCTCCCTCCCCTTTTATTTATTACCAGAGAGAACCCTGTTACTAGTATTTTAAAAATAATGCTTTTGTAATACATTTCTAATGCGTTAATTACTGCTTAATTGCTACTAGCTTTCTTTGCCTCTTATTTTACTGCAATTAGACCAACTGCTAATAGAAAATCATTTTAATTTATCTAGTTATGTAAATTGTGTTATATTTACTATACAACACAGCGTATCTACTATTCAGTTTCAAAATTACGTTTGAGCAAAAATTGAGCATTTTTATGCTGCCCATGGATTTTTTTCTGTCTGTTACAATAATTATATTAAATTACTTCTATTGAGTTGGCAAAAATATGTCCCATGGCTGCCAATATGGTCTATCTCTGATAAGGTAGTCATTTCAAAAATTATCTTTTGTTTATGCTATATTCTAAGAAAATAAAGCTTTAACAAGGTAATGATGTTTTATTTACTTTCTCCTCTGTTACTGGCATTTAATTGTTCAAATGTAAACAATTTTGTATGGTGAGATCAAATTACACTTTTCAGTTTTTTATAAGCATTTCTTTTTTTCAATTGATCCTGTTTAAGTAAATTGGAGTAATAAGTAGTCAATTTCTAGTTTTAATTTGACTAGAGTGTGAATTCTTTACTATTTCAGGTAACTTATTTTTTTTTATATATATAAACACATATGAATATTGGTAACAGAAGGGAACATAAGGCAGTTTCAAGTTAATGTTTTATTTTATGTTCGAAGTCAAAAAGTGCACCACTCTTTTATGGGTAAAGAACATTCCAATTGCAGCTTAAATTTTTATTGGTCGAAATTCGAATATTTATTTTTTTAAGAAATATTTTTCTAAATGCCTCTCCATTTTGAAAATGACCCATATCTATCATTTATTAAAAATAAAATGTTCTAATTGCCATAAACAAAAAAGATATAACAAATAGTTTTACAGAATTTTAAATAAATCCAATTGTGACTAAAAATATTGTACAATGAAATATTGTTTAGTGAAACCTGTGCAAGTTGACCACATGTGTTGCATTTCTTTAGTGGTCAATTTAAAAGAGGGGAATGAGTCTTTTTTTTATCATTTCTTATATCATGATTTATATAATGATGCTGTTCAAGTTATTCATATGTATATCTTCTATATTACCAATCAATAAATGCAATTAATTTTTTTTTAAAATTCGAATTTAAAGTTTTATTCTGCAAATACGCCACAATAATGTCTTAAAAAGTGATATTAATTTATAAAATATATTAGAATCTATTACATCAATTTAATGTTAAACTAATTAGTTTAAAAATCAAATATAATTATTTTGTTTATGAGGCATGCCATTTTTATTTATTATAAATTTCTTAAAATATTAATACACACAAACATAAATTCAATTAGAAAACTCAACATTTCGACATTTATTTTATAATACCAATTTGTTAAAAAAAAGTCCTTGATAGTTTCCTCATACTGTCAACTCACAATGGAGTCAAGATGTTAGTTCGATTTCACCAATTCAGTGAAATTCTATTACCAAATATAATGTCATAAGAAATCTCTAAAAGAGGATTTTTATTTCTTCTTATAGTCATCCTATGAAGGGTTTAGAATATCGTTCATTAACATAACTATGTTACTGTGAACAACCAAAATAGGTGGTTGTTGACAATCACGTAGTCGCTTTGGTAAATGTACGAAGTATATACTAGGTCTAGTTAAGTGCCACTGCCGGCTATACATTTGCCGGGTACTCTGAACACTGATGTTTATCCTCAACAGATATTAAAATATCAAATAAATATAATGTCAACAAATAAATATAATAATATCAACAAATAAATTAATAACAAATCAGATGTAACAAATATTTCAGACATTCACCAAAGTGACTATGTGATCGTTGACATTCACCGGTGAAAGTCTACATTCTCTTGATGTGGAGCATTCACGGTAACAACTATACTCCAGTTAAGAAAATACTATTGTGGTATGTGATTTAAGTAATCAACCTCGACTGCATATAGTTCCGTTTTATTTACCTATCAAATTATATGATTATACTTTCGAAACGATATAAAAGCTTTTATAAGTTAAACACATTGAATTGGTGCTATTTTTTTTAGCAAAAAGAAAGCCAAGCTACATTATTTCAAGAGTTGGCAATGTTGATATTCGTTCGCGCTTGGAGCTTGGCATTCATTCACTGTGCCCTTAGATGCAAACAGGCTCTCTTCATTGGGATAATGGTTTTTTCTTAACTTGCAACAGAATATAGACAAATTTGTCTTATTTCAGTGGTCTACATACAAGATAGATTGATGGTAATATGCAAAAATTTTGCTCCCAAATATTATATAGGATAAATTTGGCTCTTAATAATCGAGGTCAACTTACAAGGGTTACAATTTTCAGGTTTCATTGCAAAATTAAATTTTGTGTAAATAATTTATTATTAGCATGTATATTAAGTTTTTTTTCTGATTGTATTATATAAATAGTACCATTCACATTTCATTTTATAATAAGTCATTAAAAGTTGTTTGTTTGAATTATTAATGTTGGTTTTGACCTGTACAACATTTCACATGAAAATAAAATCTTCCATTTGTTTTAACTGAAAATGTACTTGAAGCAAATTATTTTACTGTTGTGTAATAATTATTCACATTAATGGACGCACATTTTTTACAATTTACACACATTATGGCTCTCTGTATAAGCTGTTTTTTAAATGACTCGATTTCACTGAAAGTGTGTATATAAATTTCATTCTAATTCCCCAAGTGTATTTTTTAACCCAGATTTCAATATGTGACAGTAATGAATACACTTCTAAAGTAAAGCTATTTAGTTTGATTTTTTTATGCAAGAAAAAAAATGCTCTCAACTCATTTAGTTTATGGTTGTGAACTGATTTTAGGAAATTTTTCACTCTTTTTCTTTCTTTTTAAACTGTATAATTATTTTAATCTTTTTTTAAAAAAAAATAATAAAGTTAACATTGTATAACAGTACACATTTTTTACAATTTGGTTCTTATTCTTATCGTGTGTAATACACATGCACAAATAATATTTTGTTAGATTTTTTGAAATACCCACTTATTTGGGGGGGGNNNNGGGGGGGGGGGAATGGCCTGATGATGTAAGGCATAGTCCCCCTAAATATTTTTTTTTTCTAACAAAGTAATTCATTGATTTTATTAATATATATAAATTTAAAAAAATCTTCAGTACAAAACATTTTTTTTTTCAGTAAACACAATTCAAAACATATTGAATGCATATATTGAATTTTCTCTCTCTCGTACACTTTTATATATAGATTGTTCCTCTCAGTATCATTCATTATAAACGAGACATACGGGGAAAATGACGAAAGCGAGTCAACATAAAATATCAACTAATGATTTCAAAAGTGATGAAGAAGTAATGGTAAGTACTTCTTAAAGAAGTTTTATTCATATATATGTTACCGGTAAAGTTTGAAACCCGGTATTCTATAGAGCATACTATAGAATGCCAAATGAGAAACCGGCAAAGTATAAAATGCATCTCCGATTCGTTTCGATTATTACGTGGCACCTGACTTAACGAGCGCTTCAATCTCAGAATTTGTCATTTGAACTTAGCGGTTTTTATATAAAAATTTTGTTTCCCTTAATAAGAAAGGCACAAATTTTGTTTTGTACAACTTTCATGTTTCGTTACGCATTTTGAATAAAAAAATTTTAATGGCACTCTCATTATTTTTTCGGAATAACATTTTTATTTTTGAGAAATGCACACCACTTACTATAATAACCTCATCAGGACTTTTTTTTCATACTTTGCCTAAATAGCATTTGTCATTCTATAGAATGCCGGCAATTCATGCTTTGTCGGTAACATATCTATCTATCTATATTATATAAAACGCTAATACGTACGTATGTATGTATCAATAAAAACCGATGATATTTCTTTTCTCGCGATTCGGATTGGCGAGCATGAGTTTTCAGCTGGCAACAGTTTTCATTTTTAATTGATTGGATTCGGCGCGCAAGAGCACGTAGTGAGCAACCAGATAACAATAACCAGAGTGAGCATTATGAGGTTGTTCAATTCAGATTCATGCACTAAAAACATGACAATATTTAATTTAAACTCAATTAGGAATTAATTAATTAAAGTGAGAATGCTTTAAAAGGCCGCTGTTGAATTGATATTTTTCTACTGGGAGCTACCTAAACGTCTAAAAAACGTTTAAGTGTTTGTATTGAATGCATTGAATTTTTTTATATTTCGCGTTTATTTATGCATTGAATTTTCACGCTTTAAAACGCAGAATATTAGTGAAGCAATATTTGATAATTTATTTTGCTAATATGTTTCTTATTTAGCTAATGTTTTGATTTTTTCACCATGTACAATCTAAATAGCTAATATACTTTTTTAAAAGCCAATAAGAACATTGGTAGAATTCTTCTACATAAGTACAATACTATGTCTTTGATGATAATATATTATGTCTTTGTGCTATAACATTGTGTTTATTGGCCAGCGAGCGCAGCGAGCCATGGTTCGCGGCGTGAATTGCGTAGCAATTCTCGGAGGTTGGCGAGCGTTAACGAGCAGGGGGCGGAGCCTCCTAGTATATAGTATAAGCATAGGAACTGAAAGATTTTTTTGTTCATTAAAGTAATTAATAATAAGTCAAACTAATAATGTTTTGTTGAAGTATGCATATCAATTATTGATACGTCAGTAAAAGATAAAAAATAAGTAAAAAAATACTGATAAAAATAAATATTTATTACAGACATTTAGTGTCTCCTCACTACACTGTGCCCAGATATAAGTGTGCATGATAAGATTAAGAAGACCCAAGTCATGCTTAAAGGTGCTTACTTTTCAAAGCACCTAAATGGTGCTTAGCTTTCATTGGATTTATATAAAAAGGTGTTTACTTTTTATCTTTTACAAAATGTAAATTTTTTCTTTACCTTCAGGGGAGCACACCCTCTTCAGAGGATCAAAAATGTGATGGCAAGTCTACATTTTCCTCACCTAGACAAATGTCTCCATCATGCAACAAGCATAGTTATCACTACTTTGTCATTCACACCGAATAAGTTTCGGCGTATAAACTTCTTCATATCGATAAGATGCGCCATTTATATTTTAACATATTCCTGAATTCAGTGCGAACTCTCGTATGATAACTCTGCTACATTTAGTAATAGACTCCCGGTTTCTGGCTACATTTTCCGCTTTCCAAAATAGAACAAAAATCTCCCGGATTTGGGCTGATCCCAGTATACTATAAAACTTTTTTACCAAACGAACATTTTGATAATCAATTTCGAAGATTTTCTACATATTGTTTTTGTAAGTCAAAAGAGTAAGATGTTAGCGTACTGTTTTATTTATAAATCAAACTAGGTACAGTCAAAGTTTGGGCCTATCCGGATTTTTTTCATTACTTATTTATTATTTTATGAACGTCATTGAACAGTCGACCCAATTTTGAGTATACAACAACCAATGTTCAACTTCGCAGCCTTGTTATTTTTGAAGCTAATCCAGAAGACAAGAAAACTCCTAGATCTTGTTTTGGAAGAAATTTTGCCCTCGTGAAGAACTTTTTGACGGAATTGACCCGCGTTTCCGTTACATGGAGAGGGAAACCACAAAAACTTTCCACGGTTACTCTGACGGCAGGGGGACTCTAACCCATGATCCGTCTACCAATGATGATATATTACGTCGGTGCGAAATTCGTATCGACCAGTCATCGCCGGGATTCGAACCTGGTTTACCTTATTGGAAGGCGAACGCTCTATCCCCTCAGCCACCAGAGCTCTAAATAAACTTATTTTATTTTAAAACCGTCGTTGAACAGCCGACTCATACTTTTAATTTACGACTACCACTGTTCAATTCCATAAGCCATTAATTTTGAAGGCAATCCAGAAGACAATGGAACTCCTGGATCAGTATCCCCAGGGGTATTGATTTGTTATGGAAACTTGGAGGACTTTGTGACCCCGATAGATTTAGCGTGAATCGTGACCACCGCACTACCTCCTGAGCCACCATAGTTCTATTTATTATTATTATTTTTCATTTGCATTTTTATTCTTTATTGATCAATGGCAAATATTCTACGTTTTTAAATTGATCACCAAAAGCAACTCGTGTTGTTACTCATTCTTTTGACAGATGAAGTCTATGCCATAACATCAAAAGCACTTGTGAGGTTATAACTACCATTCAGGCACTAGGTCATCCATATTATTCCACATTATATAGTAAGTTTTTGTAGCCATTGAAATCAAACATGACTAAATCTGATTGTCTACCAACTTTTATTAGTTGCATAAAATTTTTACTCTGTTTTCGAAAATTTTATTTTCATGTTGCTCAATATCCGTCACCTTGTACAGGGTGTCCCAAGATTATTAGGACAAACTTTAAAGGGATGTTAGGGACATCACAAGGTACATCCGGTGCTTCTTCCTGTGGAAACCTTTTACGATACAATCTTTCTGCTGCTTCTACATTTCCCCCGCAAATTCGTACATTATGTGCTCAGCTCAGTGTGCATAAAACGTTGCTTAACGGGCGATGACTGCAGCTACACAGGTCTGTTTCGTCTAATGCGATTGTGAACAACACCACTTAGCGGCGAATGAAGACGTTTCCGGCCATAGGTTAATAGAAAAATGCCTTCCATAGTTTGTCCATGTTAAGAACACCCCTATCCATTCGTCTGGAGAGGTGGAGGTTACGAGGTTTAGTTTTTTCAAATGGGGGTGTTGGGTCATTATTGAAGACTGGTTTTGACTCGGATTGACGCGAGAAAGGGAATCCGGGGGAAAAGAAGCATCCCCTCTTTGAAGTGCACTATTTCTTGTTTCCATAAAAGCAGACGACCGTAGACTTCGTGGCGAGGGGAGTTCTTTCGTTTGACAAACTATACCTTCCCTTCAAATTCGTGCTAACAATGCAAATTTAACTGTTTTTTTCTCGAATATTTTTATTTATTTATCAATTTATTTATTTGCAGTTAATAATTTCTCTTTCTCAAAATTAACGTTTTAAAGCACTTGGCTTGATTGAATGCAATAAAGAATGAGGAGGAAATTAGATATCGCATATAAATCTTGACATATGGAGTAAGAGAAACAAGTAAGTGAAAATTTTCAGAGCGTCTATAATCAGTCGGGTCATTTGCTCATTACAGTCATTTGCCTTATTTTATTTACCTCTGTCTAGTTTGAAATAAAAATCATGCAATCAAACTCAAAACTTATGTGGATTATGTTACAATAAAAGCGAGAACGAAAACGATTCTGTTACATTAGACATACTCATATGGATGCGAATCTTATATATTATTTTTTCGGATTAATTATAGTACCTCCGAAAATGTCACTTACCTACATCTTTATTAATTTTCAAGTTTTTGTAAATGTAAAAGACTCAGCAGAGGTAAAATTCGTTTACAATTTAATATAAAGTTTCAGTTGTATTACAAAGTTACTCTTTGCAATTTCATCTTTTATATTATAAGGTTATAGTTACACATTGTTGCCAAGTAAATTTTACTTCTAATTTATAATTTCTCATTGTGTCAT